AATATTTAGTGCATTAATCTTAACAAAATAGTTCCGTGACCTGCTTTTGTACACGATACTGCCCTGTCACCCAGTTCAATGCAAATAAATTTCAAATGGAATCCAATCGTCGTTGGGAATTGTTTTTAACTCATCAGTGTTGAATATGCCTGTATATGTTTTTCCGTGACTCACTACAACTCCCATCCTTATCTAGTGGGTCGTTTTATGGTTTCCACTCCCGGACCTAACGTTTTTTGTGTCTAGTTGTGTTGTCACTACCTTGGATGACCGGTGCCAATACACTGGGTTAACATGAATCATATTTGTAAATTGACTTTTGTTCATTTTCTTAGGTAAGAACTTGAGGATTTATATTCGACTGTTGGCGAAAAGGTTTATTTGCGACACCTTCAAATCTGTCGTACTATGTACTTCGTGGAGTTAACTAACGACAGTACTAAATTGTATTGTTCTCTGACACGTGGTAATTTTTAAAAGTATGCTCCTTTTACTGGTGAATGATTTTTTCCATTGTTCTATTCCTTTTCCTGTGCCTCTAATACAGTTGTCCGAAACACCACACGCAATGGAGTTCAGGCGACCGAGAGCATGGTGGAAAAGCTTACACGAATGTCTGATGAGGCATCTGGCAAGATGAAACGTGCTGTTTTCGACAACTATCGGTTATTTATCAAGGCTGGAAAGGCTGCCAGTCAGTTGGAAGCATTGATGCATGAAATCAACAGTGATTTTACGGAAAAGGAACGAGTGATAAACTCGTTGGTGGAAATGTCCTTGTTCGGTGGTAAGTGTTGACAAAGCGGCTGCCTGCAAAATATCTTGTGAAAATTCTCCCTTTCCTAATGAGATGAAATATTCGTAGAATAAAATAAAACCTTTATTAGGTGTTTAATCAAGTGAGAGAAAAATCTACTGGTGAATAGATCGAACATATAACAAAAAATAAAAAATGAATGCAAGGGAAGATGAAAAAGAAACGTTAAACGCTGCGCACAAAATCAACTGTACCTGACAGCGAATTAAACCGCTTCACGACCAGCCCCACTACCCGTCTTACAATTGTGGACCATTATCAACTGATTGCAACTGACTAATAGCGTTTTGAATGAAGAGCGCTTTTGTTGTACTTCATAGTCTCGTTTGGACGCGTCGTTTTCGACTGTTGGACAGATTTGTGTAGCCCGGGTATTTGACAACCGTAGATGAACCGCACTCGGTTGTCTGTAAGTTGCATTAACCGTGTTGGTTCAGTGATGTGCTTGAGAGAGACATTCATCCCCTTGGAGATCTTTGACTGCCTACGTTTACGTAGTTTGGTTCAAGTTTCACGAAGCAAGCGGGTTAGCAACGCGGAGATGAATCGATGGGTATTGGAGAATAACTTGTTAGAAAAGTCGTTATCACATCGAATTCAGATCATGAAGCTCTACCGGTTATTTGATGTGTTGCGTATGCCCAGATGTCGTCTGTCTTACCGCGCTCTTTTCGCTGTTGGTGCTCCATGTTGGACGTCAACAAATCACGTGGAGACGAGGCATGAGAAAAGGCACAGAGCTATTGGGTAGAGCAGATGCTTTCCGACTCTCATATTGGGGTCAAAAAGTTTCTGTCACTGGTTGGCTGAAGGCACTGACAGATACGGCAACAAATCATCAGCAACAATGTGTATATACAGTTGGCTTGTGTACTCTGGGTGTGGATCATCGAGGTTCATTTCTCCCCTCCTCGCTCCTTCAAAACACACCAAAATCCTGTCCGCCTGACATTCTCACTTACTTCGTGTAGTTTAGGAACTTGAAAACGATCGGGAAAGTTGGCTTGACAGTATTCGGTGTACAATAATGATGATGATGATCATGTACGGATGATCCTTATCTCTAGCCTTGTCTCATTTACAAAGTGATGTATGATGTATGATAGAAACCGTCAAGTTACGATGATGGCGTTTTCAAAGTGAACCTTATCTCGTCGCAGCGATGTCGGAATTACGGATACCCATGGTCTTCCAATTGCTAGTAACAGTGCACAGTTATTCTTGGTTCAGACACTATTATTGGGCCACACGAGTGAATGATTCTACTCAGTGAGGCTAATCAGTACACGCATCATCGAGCAGATTATAATTTAAGATTATATCCTTTCTTACTCACCAAACGCGTTCTCAAGAGGGTTGTTGTTATTCCGTACAAGTGATTGATGGGTGAATGGAATGTGGCTCGCTTGATTGGTTGCTTGGATAGATTTATCTAGTGGCTGGACTCCTATTCACAGTGATGTCTTTTGGTGACATCTTTCATTTGTGGTTACGTGTACCTGAAGTTCTTTGAGATTGCGATTAAATATCACAAACCGCTGATTAACTCACATGGTGTGATCTCGTGCATTGGAGCTTGCGTGTACCTGATGTTGCTTAAGTCACCAACTTTGTCGGTTGGGCCGACTGTTTGATTGTTTTATTGGTAGTGGCTTTTAGCTTATTTATACAGGCAGTTGTAAGGGTACTTTCTATCCAGCAGGATTTTGTCGCTTCTGATATGCAAATCTTCATGGTGAAT